AAATAGTTTTATTAAATGATTTATCCAAAAGTATCCATCTCTTTGGACTAATCACTTACTGGTTACTATGATAAGACACGAAAATTATTGCAATTTAGTAGAATAAAGAAAGTTTCACAGAAATTCACAGTATTTAAACGGAATGCAATCATACCCTTGAATACAGTATGGAATGGTTCTTCAGACGCAAAATCTTAACACCACTCTGGTCTCTTCAGCTGATTATACCAGAGTGGTCTTTCAGACACAAAGTCTTAACACCACTCTGACTTCTTCAACTGATTATACCAATTGATTGAAAGTGGCATCTCTTATAATCTCAGGCTGGTAAATTATCTTATAATATTTATTTAAGTCAAGCGAAATGAATTCATTATACTTGAATTTAAATATTAAATTGTATTCACAGTTATGCAGAAGGCCGTTCACAACCTTTGTTAATAATTTACTTATCACCTTACCCCTGGCAATCTCTTCGCCTGTGATTACACAGTTTGAAAGCATTGACCCTCTTGTCACAGTTCAGTTTACAGAAAGTTGAGTTGCAAATACAAATGCCTGTTAAGGTTGACTTCTTTTGTGAGGGTTACATCACATAATTTCCGACCCGAAATTCTCCAATTTCGCGATTTTTAAAGTTTATGCAAGACACAAAAATGTGTAGTGTTGAACTGTATCAACAAAGCAAGGGGAGCGTGATTATAGAAGTTAGCAACAGGTTGTACGCTCCACACGAGTGTTAGTGACGGAAGGTAAACAGTTCCTCACTGGAAGTAACTCACAAGACAAGCGGTCTCTATTACAGACAAGTAAAAAACAAACCTAAGGGATGAAATGGGCATGAAACACAATTCGAGACATCGTGTGCTCTTTACAGATGAATCTAAGTTCAGTTTCTTCGGTAACAATCAACGAAAGTTTGTTTGACGACAGAAATGAGAATGGTATCATAGTCAACGTACATCTTCAGTGAAGCATGGGACGGATCAAAGCATGTTTGAGTTGCATCACAGTCGACGGTGTCGGTGATATACACAAAACTTGTGACACTTTGACTGTTGAACAATTGTAAGCAGATTCTGATCCACCATACTATTTACTCCGGAACACAACTCATTGGATTCGTTTTACAGTAAGACAGTACCTCAAACATACAGCACGTGTAGTGAAACCATATATTGATTGTAAAGAGGTTGATGGAACACTCCTAATCATGGTTTGGTCTTCCCAAAGTTTGGTATCCTAGAGGACAAGCAACTAGTCAAAAGCACATATCGTAAACTCTTAAGCTACTCTTATCGGCCTAATATCAACTGTCACTCTTACAGTGCACCCACGGGTTCAAAATGCAGAGGATAATTTTACGGCAACGGAACGCGAATCTTGAACTCTTGGATTCACAGTTTGTTAAAGCAAACCATTAGTCTATTCCCAACCACAAAACTCAGGCCTTATGGCCTTATGCATAAACTAAAAATATCAAAAGGCAACCAGACAACTTGACTAATTTTTACTAATGCAAAACATTCTAAATAACATTTGACTGTCGTACATTCAATAAATTCTAAAACAACATTAAAACAAGGTGCAATGTTCTTTGTAGACAAAGGGCTCATACTAGTGCACTGTGCTTCTCATACGCTTGTCTTCTGCGTTTTTTGTGATAACATTCTGTACCATTACTAAATTCACCACTTAGTTTGTTGTTTGTGGCTCCTGTGTTTGTATTTCTTGTAATTTTATAAAATTATTGTCACTTATGTACATCTGTGTAATTTAACTTCATAACATTGAAGTAAGCTTTGATCTCAAATAACAGGTTTAGTATTATCTAGAAATAAAAACTGAAGATATTTAAGCTTTAGGGTAAGTCATATCCTAAAGCATAGCAGTTTTCTAGTTTGGCCTAAGTATAGGTCCTGTATCTATCGCAGTTTGGTATACTATGCCAGTTTGTTTGTTTTAGAGCAAAGTCACATTGAGCTATTTGCTGTATAAAACGCGGGAAATCGAACCCCGAATTTCTGCGTCTAAGTAAGTAAACAAACCGCTGTCTCACAAGTGGACAACTACTATGATAAGAAAGAATCATGATCTAAATAGATAAATAAGTATCTCACATTATAGTAAAGCAATTAGATTGCTAGTAGTTCTCTTTATGACTGATATATTAATGACTAACATCTTGTTGATCTATGTTCGAGTTTCAAGTATCTATCGGAGTTTCCAGTTTTGATATACTTTAATTTTTATTTTTAATGGGAATTTTGAAGAGTGTGTACGATATTTGAGTGTGGGTAGTTAAGATTTCTTTGCTTGAAGCTAATGATAATTAAATGAAGTTTAAGAATTAGAAAATGACTAGCGCCTAGCTGAAATCCCAGCTATAGGTGTTAATTAATTAAAAGATATAAATCCGGGGTTCGATTCCTTGTGGTAGACATAGCAGATAACCCAATGTGGCTTTGCTCTAAAACACTCAAACCACCCCTTATTTATATCCTTTTTTAAAACAATCTTACTTAGAATGGAAGCCTGACTAGAGCACAACGAACTAGAAGGGCACTCAGTAGAGCGCATACTTCCATCACGCAAGCGTTGATCATATTAGCCCCTCAAAATTTACGAAAATGTTTCCGTATGTCCGTCGTTATCATGAGACATAGACCATCTTTGGCAGGACAATGAGAAATAATATTCTACATAAGTCCACCAAGTTTCATCAAAATCCGATCATTTTTGACTGAGTTATAGAGCAACAAATGTGTGAAAAAACGGTCCCCCATGTTAACACACACCTTGCTGTGACCTTGATCTTTTCCTTGGACCCTCCAAAAACTAAACACTTTTAAGCTGGATCATAGTCCAAATTTATATCAACTTTCGTCCAAATCCATTCAGCCATTTTATAGAAATATTCCTGACAAACACACGCACATTTGGGTGATAACAAAGGGATGAGCGTCCGCAGGGGCGGGGGGCAAGGGGCACTTGCCCTCCCCTTGGAAAGTGAGAGAAACATAAGTATTTCTATATTCAATCAGCACATGTATATGAATTTACAAGTTTTTATTCACTACACAATTTCACACTAATTATCACACTTAATTCTTAATTCTAATAAAAGTCGTCAGGTTTGTCAGCAGGTTAAGATCTCTAGATACTTACCCTGTAGTTAAATACTGAAAAACGTTGCTACCACGGATATTGGATATTGGACATGTCAATCCACACAAAGGTCATAAAAGAGACCGACGCGGTCTTGTCGACATCCCCCGAGCTCTGAGACGCAGTATGATCGGGCTCAACCTGTTGCCACCTGCCGGTAATACCGGCAGCAGGTTATCAAAAGAGACTGACACAGTCTTGTTGTTCTTACCATACATACACAATCAACTTCATTGAAATATTGTGCTTTAATTAACTTCACATTGTATTGTATTCATCATTGTATTCGTTTTATATAAAGTGAAATTACCCTATAGGGTTAAGAACCTAAAAAAGCAAACTAAGACTTACTATTATGGAGTACATATAGCTGCAAGTCTGCAGAATGCCTTAAACTAACCTTATAAATAGTAAACGTACCAAATCTGACTGTAGGAGCTTGCCCATTCTCCTGACTGTAATGGCAAAACTTTGAAGGCGAATCCATCGTCCCTTGATTTTGCCCTGCCCCAGAAAAAATTGTCAGCGTTATCTAGTAAAACAAGTGTACATAATTAAATATGTATTCTTCATTCTTCCACACCCGTTCGCGTTCTTCAAATAACAAATTTCCTTTATATATTTTGAGCATCTATGGAAAGACCTATACTTTTTAATAACATTGATAAAACAATCACAGTGTTCTGAATAAAAATAGACAAAGTTGTAAATCGACAGGTACTTTATAAATAAATTTTGTGTGTGTGTGTTTTTAGCAATACATTTTGTTGGTGATTGGTCAAATAAAATGTTTTCTTTGCTGTATCAGTATTCCTGTGTCTTAGAGGCAATGATTCGGCTCTAACAAAGGAACGTATTACATCCTATAAAACTTGCGCTACGTATCACGTGAGATCGACAGTATTGTTACGTCAAACGTAACAGAATAAATCATTTATTTTCCCTGTGAAAGTTTAAATACTTCTAATAATTATATGTTTACACTTAGACTATATTATACAAGTGTTTGTCGTTCAAATCCTAATTTTTCAGGGGTTTTCGACAAGATTTGTTTGATGAATAAATTAAAATATATTTTTGCAAGATCAATTTCAAAAATCTGAAGCAGCTGATATAAATTTTAATTCCATCTTTATTTGCCGCTCTTTACGTGTCTCTCCAATAAAAATAGCGTATAATAACACTTATATGTTACTTTTTCCACTGTACGTGTCAGCCAGTGAGTCACCGGTAAATATACGGACTTACAAAGCTAACATCCAGGGTTCAATTCTTCTCGGTTAACATTGTGTAGTTTGACGCTAAAAACAAACAAAAGCAAATAATTATATGGTGCTGCCGATGAGACTTATCGGCCAATACCAGAGCACATCAGGCCGGCTGGGTTACAACATGCAAAGTTTTAGCTGAAACGCTCATTAACTCAGTTGTTTTTGACATATCAAGTCTTACGAATCATAATAATCAGCTAGTTGGTATAATACGTTCTGTAATACAACACCCTTTGGATATAATTAAAGTTTTACTTTAACATAAAGACATTCTTCAATAGTTAAAATAATTTTAGAAGAACATAATTTGATTTTGAAATGTGGTATTTTATGATATCTTATAGGTAGTAACGTACATAACTGTGAAACCATTATAAAGGCTGTAATATTATATAGAATATTTTTGGAATAACAGTATAATGTAATAAAAAATGAGAAATGTCAAAACAGACTTTGTTAAACAATCTTATAAGCATTTGAAACTTGATGCAATAATATACTTTAGTTTCACATTAAAACTATCAGAACTTTATACCCATTCATTGTTGTTTTGTTCTACAGGTTATTGGGAATGCCCACTACCTACCAAAGTACATTGGAACTAAAACCCACAACTTACAAAAACTATTGTAAAAAACTACACTACCTTGTGGACAAACAGCAAGAACTCTGTGGTCTTAGTTACAACGTTCTGATGATCGTTGGCCATGGAGCCAAGATGGGGATTGAAGAGTGTCAGCACCAATTCAGAATGAGCAGATGGAACTGTTCCACTTTCAATGACACTCCCACTGTTTTTGGTGGGGTTTTAGACGTCAGTATGTATCATCCTTAGGTTTTCACCTTACTGTATGTTATACTCTATAAGGTCAAAATTTGTACACTAGTAAAATATTTTTAAAACATGCATGTTTGATTTTGTGACCGAGTATGTAGTTATTATTTATAATTAACCCTAACAAAGCTACAAATCACGACGTAGTTCTATGCTTGTTGTGCTTTTTTTTGGGGGGGGGGCGTAAGTTAAAATATATAATTTTAACTAAAGATTGTTGCCTGTGTAGAACAACTTAGTTACTCTAGCTGAATAGCGAAAACTCATGGAATACAGAATCAGAAATGTGATCACAGAGGGTGAAATTTTCATTGTGGATCTAGACATCATTTGAGTAACGTAGAAGTTTTAATTTTTAATTTTCTTAATGTTGACAGTATTAAGTACTCTGTGTAATATTACATAGATTTTGCAGATTATATTTACCCAAGTTAACATTAATTTTAATTTATGTGACATTTTTCACTATAGTACGTTTATAGTTCTCCCTTTTCTTACTTTATTTGTGTAATTTTAACTGATTATTTTATTTCATGGGGAGACTAGGAAAAGACCATCCAAGGACCTATTATTTTGCTGTTTAATATATTTCTTCAAATATAAAATAATAAGAATCTCTTAAAAATAATTACGAAACAGGGTCTCTAAATTGTTAGACATTTTCAATATAAAAGTAGTTTAAAATAACTTGTTTGTGATTTTCCTTGTGCTATTTTTGGTGTTACCTTGTTACAGATCTTCTACGTTAGCTTGTTCCATTCGATAGGCAAGATACATTCTTCCGCACACATTTGGCCTGGCATGGCCAGGTGGTTGGGGAGCTCGACTCGCAATCTGCGGATCGATGGTTCGAATCCCCGTCCCACCAAACATGCTCGCCCTTCAGCCGTGGGGGTGCAGAAACGTTACGGTCAATCCCACTATTCGTTGGTAAAAAGAGTAGCCCAAGATTTGGCGGTGGGTGGTGGTGATGACTAGCTGCCTTCCCTCTAGTCTTACAATGCTAAATTAGGGATGACTAGCGCAGATAGCCCTCGTGTAGCTTTGCGCGAAATTCAAAAAACAAACAAACAAACCTTACACATTTTCCACTTGATTCAAACCATTTCACGGATTTAACCGAATTCGTCAATTAAATCACAAACATTATGGTTACAGGTACCAACATTTGATATTATTGGTCTCACAGAAAGGTTCTGGCTAATGAATTGTGAGTTTAACATGCATAGTGAGATCTAAATGATAGAATTTTTGGAAACAATAACGGCCATGATATTTCATTTTTTAAATTTACAATAACCATATCTGTAAGTCTACTTCTCGTGTAATATATGGGTCTTGATTTTTATTTTAATAGATTTGATACTTTCATTTAATATGAGATGTAATAATTATTATTTATAATTATTCAAAATAATTATTTCATTACACTAAAATCAAACTCAAAAAAATTTTAATTCCACTTTTAGTATAATTTTAGTGATCTCATTTGAGTTTCATTTTTGAGTCTATTTTATTCAATTTTCTTCAGGAGTATAATATGCTAGTAATTAATGTACTGTTAAACAGAGTTTTTGAATTTTCTCAATCAGTGGTTGTCAGGGCGTGGCCTTAGAAGTTAACATACTAGACTGTGGATCCGATAGCTCATGGTTTTTTTTTTGTTACACAATCACCCTCCATATTTTGGGGACCTGGGTGGTAAAAAATTAATGGTAAAATTCTATTATTCGATTAGAGCAGCCCAATAGTTAGTGATAGGGGATGTTAACTAACTGTTTTCCCTCTAAGCTAACAGTTCAAAATCAGGGTCTATTGACGCAGATAACCCTTGTGTAGCTTTGCGCGAATATTCGAAAAAACAGACAAATAAACATTGGAATATAAAAATTATGCACATATACTTAAGTGTTCAATTACTTCACACCTGTATTCCACTCTAAGTCATTGATTTTTGTATGACTATTTTGTTTCTTCTTCATTAATGACATGTAAACACATATTGAGATTATGTAATTTTCAGCGAAAAGAATCGAAAAGATAAAATAATTCTCGACAAATTTAAAATAGTGGATAAAAAAGTATCCAGCAAATTCAAATCAGTTTTTGGCAGATGTCGATAAAATGATATTTATTTTTCGCTTGTATAAACATCCAAACATTAAATTACCTGTGAAAAGAAAACACGAATATTTTGTGTTACATTAATAATCAATGAATTGTATGCTTACCGTGATAGTTTTGTATTAGTTGCTTTAAAAATTAATCTGGTTAAACTTTTTAATATCAGTCTTGTATAGATATGAGTCATGATTTTTTTCTCTCTCTTTTTCACATGACTTTTTCTTCATGCAACAAAACGTTAAAGTGTCTCTATGCAGGTATATAACATAGTTCGTAGATGTATAAACAATGCTACCATTCTCAGCTCAGATAAAATATGCTACAGATGTAACTTACATGTGCTTATATATTATTCTTAAAAATTAGCTTCAGGTTAAATGTTTATTACATAGTTTTCTATTCGATACCTAGGAATATATTAAATCTAGTGTCAGGTTGTTATCCTTTATCATAAAATCCAAATTATCCAGTATAGGTATCCACGTTTTATCTGAGTGTAATATTGAATTGGTTAACTTAATGAACAATGGGTAAAATTAGAGACGAAGTAAAGAAAAGGATGAATGAAGGCTTTGTAAATTCATTTGCTCATATTGTTTCATTTTAATAATTTAATTGGGCTCCTTTTAGCCATGTTTTGGCCATTATCTGCTAAATATATATAGACAAAATACGCAGTATTTCTGCTTATATGATGAATCACAATGTTTCCTGCATAACTAATTAAAAAAGCGAAGTTTTGTTTTATTAACCACTGTCAGATTTCTATTGCATGTTTTATGCATCTTCTACTTTTATATATGACGCGTTAGAAGCTTTAAAAAGTCGCTTTTAAACTATCTTTCATTTACGGTGATTATCTATAAACTGTTTCAATGTTTCAGTAATTTTTGTTGAAAGTTTAAAACTATTTTACAGCAAGTTATAAAAATATTATTATTAATCACCTGTACCACGAAAAAGTAAATATCCTTAGTAAAAACTAATAATCCAGTGTTACACAACCACCAAGTTAATTTTCTTGATATACATTTCAACTTCCTATTATTCATGAAAAAGGACTTTAATAAAGAAACAGTGTGTAATAACTGATTTAATAAAAAAAAAGATTGTCTAAGTGAACAGATGTTTTATTATATTTAATAACGCAATGAACTACTGGTGAGTAGCTGTATATTTTACTTCACTACCACGTTTTTCTAAGGGTTTTCGTTGAGCTTTAAAATTTAAGTAGTCTGATTAGACAGAGTGCATTAAAGTAATCTTCGTGACAAACCTTTACAAGGATTAACTCTGACAACCTTAACTGTTAAATGTTTGACCAGACCACGCTTACCTCCCTGCGGCCCATAGTAAGGGGTATCGAACTATTGCCTGGCTGTGACATAATGAGGTAGGGCGCCAGTCTGCTGGAACACTTTCACTCGTCCACACCATTTCACATGTCATGTTGCTATAGTTTCAGTTACGTGTCACCATACTGTACTGACATTATTATCCAAGACAGATGGGGTCTGTGATATGTTTCCCTTTCCCCCCATACAATAATATAACGTTGGGGTCATTTTGCGAATGGGTAACAACCATCCGACAGAGTTTATTGTCTGACCTCATGCGGTAACAGCTGTTGTGGCAGTTCTCCTTCCTGGCTAAATGAACAGACACTTCGTTGTCATTTTTGTCCCTTTGGAATTTGTTATCCATACTACTAGTGATTAAACTCACTTGCTGCAGTAGTAATAGTGTATGGAGTATTTTATAGATATCAGTAATAACAGACACATCCAAGATGTACATTCAGTAGCTTCCCAAAACAACAAAAATGACGTTGAAAAATAAAGTCTTGCAAAATCATGTATTATATGTTTCTCAGAAGTTGCACTTACCCTTTTTTCACAGATCTGTAGAATCTGACTTAATATTGTAAGTAAAACCTTTTGTACTCTCAGTTTCGGTTTGTGTTTTAGTGAACACTCCCGAAGAAGCTATAAAGCGAAACGTTAAGTGTTTAATTAAAAATAAAAACATTTTGGTATTATAAAGTCGTTTATTTGTAGTATTAAGTTACAGCTCTCAATTTAAAAGCTGTAACTTGTAACCAAATAAAATTGTTCAGCAATATTGTATATTTATAGCGATAAATCTAATTTGAAGAGCTTGCTTAGTAAATATTGATGGTGAAAATAAAGATCCGATTTATTTATAATTTGTTATCATTAATTAACTTACACTAAGAATTCATAACATAAGGTTTAACACTGTATTGCTAGGGTTTCGAAATTACCCTAAAGACGCTAAGAGTTTAAAAAATATTGTATTTACATCCAACCAGTCAAACGTCATTACTCTTTGCTTTTGCATACCAGAACCGACATAGAGAATTACTAAACTAAGTAGAGAGTAGGACTGGCATAATCTAGAAACATTGTTGGTGAGTGAACCGGTTTAATATGACGCAATATAAGTTTTCATTACCAGCATTCATAGTGCGCGATAAAATTCCTTGTTAACAATATAACTTATACATGCTAACGAAAGTTAAATATTGTAAATATTATAATTTTGTTTGGTATAATTTTGAATGATCCCCGTCCCGCCAAAAATGCTCGCCCTTTCAGCCGTGGGGGTGTTATAATGTGACGATCAATCCAACTATTCGTTAGTAAAAGAGTAGCCAAAGAGTTGGAGGTGGGTGGTGATGATGACTTAGCTGTCTTCCCTCTAGTCTTTCACTTCTAAATTAGGGACGGCGAGCACAAATAGTCCTAGTGTAGCTTTGCCCGAAATTCAAATCAAACCATTGAGTGTGTTTAGTGCTACCATGTCTTTTTTTTTCCTCAACGTTAAGTAGGTTAAAAA